ATCTTCCTTAGATTTACAAACAGTATTCCAAGAGACCCAAGGAGTAGAAGATTTGCTCGAGTTTCCAGCCCATAAGAACCGCCGTTGGATCGCTATGATATCCTTCACAACCTTAATAGGAGCCTTGAAAAAAGCCAGATAGTGTATAGGCAGATTTGCAAGAACCGAATTAATAAGGGTTACACGACCCCCCATTGATAAGTTTCTCCCATTCCAGGTGGATAATTTATTCTTCAAATTCAGCAGAACCGGCTTCCAAAAAGAATATCTACGATGGTTACCTCCAACAGTGATACCAAGGAAGCTAAAAGGTAACTTTCCCGATTTACAATGAAGAAAATCTTCGGCAGCCACTAATAATTCAGGATCAGTATGAATCCCGTACAAACAGCTTTTGGAATAATTAATTTTGAGGCCAGATATTATCTCGAAAGCCCTAAGAACAGCCTTGAAGGCCCAAATATTTGTCGCCGACCCGTCTCCAATGAGAAGAGTATCATCAGCAAATTGGAGAATACTCGCCGTTGGTTGACCATGAATCAAGAATTGGGATAACATATTACTATCAACCGCTGATTTCACCAAACTTGAAGACCTTCAGCAACTATTGCGAACAGGAAAGGAGCGAGAGGGTCGCCCTGCTTCAGACCCCTGCCAGTCCTAAAATCCTTCGACGGACTGCCATTGATGAGAATGGAGACAAAGCTATTGAAAATAGAGCCACGTATCCATTTCATCCACTTTGTTCCAAACCCCATCTTAACAAGAAGAGCATCTAAATAGAACCAATCCACACAGTCATAAGCTTTCGCGAAATCTACTTTGAAGAAAAAACAACCCATCTTGGATCTCTTTGCAAAATCAGCCACCTCGTTAGCTAACAGAACACCGTCATATATCTGTCGTTCCGGGATGAACGCAGTTTGAGAAGGAGAAATAATTTTGTGAATAACCTTCCTAAGCCTGGACGCGAGCATCTTTGAGATAACCTTCAGCACACAACTAACAAGAGTAATAGGTCTAAAATCTTCGAAATGTTGTGGATTTTTATTTTTCGGAACAAGTGAGATGAAAGAAGAAGCGAAGGATTTCGGAAGGTAACCAGTGTTGAAGAATTCCAAGATGCAATTCGAGAAATCTTCGCCCAGAATCTCCCAGCAAGATTTAATAAAAGAGAAGTTAAAGCCATCGGTACCGGGGCATTTGTTTCCGTCACAACTGAAAACAGCAGATCTGACTTCTGCAGGACTGAAGTCAGCTTCCAGGCAGTTCCTGTCTTCCTCAGCTAAACAAACAATATGATCGAAATCGAATGTGAACTTTGGCGATGAATTAGACTTGAATCTCTCCTTAAAATACTTTACTGCTTCACTTTTAATAGCATCAGGTTCTTCCTCTAAACCTACTCCCGTTCTAATAGCAGAAATGCAGTTTGACCGATATCTAGCTCTTAAAGAATCATGGAAAAACTTGGAATTATGATCCCCATCTTGCAGCCACTTTAAACGGGATTTTTGAGCCAGCATGCTTTCTTTAATTCTGAGGTTCTTCCACATCTCCTCCTGAGCTCTCAGCCTATCCTTGTTCAACTCTGCTAAGTTGGAGGAAGAAATCAAGTCAATGTTCATCTCTAACGAATTAAGGTTAGAAACATTCTTTTCTATCTTTAAATCCAGCCATCCAAAGACACTACAGTTCCAGTTCCGGATGTCGCTTTTTAAGGCTGAGAATTTCTTTATCAGAATGTTACAGTGAGAACCAGAGACATGGTACGAACACCACGACTTCTTAACGAAAGGGATAAAATCCTTATGAGACAGCCAACAATTGAAGGACCTGAAAGGTTTTGGCCCCCAGTTCACAAAATTCGACTTCAACCACACTGGCCTATGGTCTGAGACATCTCTATCTTCCACCAATTGATTTAACAGAGAGAGCATTGATATTGCAGTATCATCCACCAAGAACCTGTCCAATCTACTTCTGCAGTTTCCGCTGGAGTTGAACCAAGTAAACTTATTCCCAACCGCCGGCAGATCCATTAAATTCATCTCGGCAATAAACTCTCTAAAAACCTCCATGTCCTTCAAACTGTTAACGCTACTACCTTTTCTTTCCTCCTCATTCATAATCTCGTTAAAATCACCCGCCACAATCCAAGCAGCTCCTGGTAAATTACTTTTAATTTTAATAAGATCCCTCCATAACTTCCTTCTGTCCGCTGAACTGCACGGAGCATAAACGTTAACCACAATAAGGTTTTGATTCTTCCACAGGAATTGGATGCCCAAAAAACCAGCACCGCAGAAGCTAAATAAGGCTGAAACTTCCGTTTTATTCCACAGAGTAATGATTCCTCCAGATCTGCCATTAGAGTTAAGGGCTGACCATTCCACATCTGAGTTCTTCCAAATACTACAAGCTAAACCGTTCTCCATATTCGTTACTTTAGATTCCTGAATAAGACAGATATCAGCATTGCCTCTCTGCAGAGTTTGAGAGATTCTCCGTCTCTTCAACAAACTACAGCAACCTCTAACGTTGTATGACACTATATTCATAATCCACTAGTAGCTACAACCTTCTTGCCGACTCTAGCAGCACAATCCTCGCTATCCATTTTCCTAAGAGTGTTACCCAGCTCGTTGTCCTCATCGCCATGAATCCCAAGGTCCAACAGGTAATTTCTCAATTTCACTGGAATATCGTCAATCACCCTTTTACATCGCAAATTAACTCTATCCACATCCGTATCAGTTATTGATTCTCCACCCAAGGGTTCTGAACTAGATTGACGAGAATTAAGTATCCGTACAGACTTATTCCTATCCTCTTTGGCTGGAAACTCCCTCGAAACCGCTGCGAAACCATTTGATGCCGAGATCAGAAGATTTGTGTAATAGGAAGGGTTATATGGGATCTTGATGCTTTTATAAATCTCATGAAGCAATTTCTTCTTCTTGGATTTTCCAACAGAAACAGGCCCGAAGAATCCATCAGGATTACCAACAATAGGAGCTGGCATTCTCAAATTCGCAGCAGGATCCCCATGAGCGCTACTGATATTAACTTTCGTGAGGACCTGATTAAGCTCAGTCTCAGTCGGGCCAGGATCATTCTTGTGACCAACAGAAACACAGTTTTCTGCAGAGTTCCCCAACATAGTCTCTAAAACAACTTCACCTGCTTCACTCGTAACAAAGCTGTTTCCAACAACAGACGCTATATCGGAATCATTCTGGAAGGAATCTGGTCCCAAGGGGTCTGCAAGTGGATGAATCTCATTAGGGACATTAAATAGAACGTTGGAGTCCCCCCTCTCGTCCTCGTCGGTATCGTCCCAGTCGCCGTCAAAATCTAATGGGCCTGATGAATCAAACTCTTCTGAGTTTATCAGCTCATCTTCTTCTCCAAACAACGACTGAAAATGGCCACCAGAAACTTCTTCGTTGATATAAATGTGGCATACAAAGTCACGCACATTAACAACAATCATCTTATTATGGATCAGCCGTAATTTAGTCTTAATCAGCAGTCTTGCAACGTCCATCCGCTCTCTATTACTAGTCTTGACATCACATCTGATAAAGTCTCCCAAACTAGCAGTAAACAACCGAAAGTTTTTATCACTCCAAGCGATACTGGGAATGCCACTGCATACTATCCAGACTAACCTATCTGTGTCCATCTCTTTCTGATCCCAAGGTCTAATTTCGTTGAACCATAACTCCAGCCAATCCTTAGCTTCATTGATGAAAATCTCAATATCACCACCTGAGCAATCTTCCAACAGGCACTTGGAGGCACCCAGAGGTATGGCTTTTATGTTGAAAAAACCTTCTTCATTAATAACCCTTTGGATGTTGAAAGCATCTCCTCCGTCCGTGACCGTCCCCACTTTCATTCTTTTCAGTCTTAGTTCCCACTCTTCATCCACCTCAAGGACCGTACAAGAACCTCCTCCCCTAAACTTGCTACCATGCTTTGGTTCCCTCTCGCTAGCCACGTTAGCAAAAGTTCTAGCAGCAGTGACAAATTTCTCAGGGGGACCAGTTCTACTGTGATTGCTAAACTTCCACTCCTTCACACCAGCAGAATTCTTCAGCTTTTGATCCGTACTAAATCTGGGAATGTTAGCATGCATTTTGACACCTTCTAGAACGATACTGTCGAGGTTACACGCTAAAATCCTGGGCTCTTGAACCTTCCTAAACTTTGCGAAACCGAATCTTCTGCCCCTCTTGTCGCGTCTCCCAGCTATAAAAACTTCTGAAATGACTCCATACACCTTGAACACCTCAAATAACTCTTTAGCATTCAGCTTATCTGGGAATTCGGTAATGAAGAACGACACTGTCGGTTCCCCAAACAAAGCGCCTTTCCCATTATTTTCCTTCCAAATTGAAAATCCTCCCTTCCTTCCAAGACTAGCGTTCCTTCCTTTCCTTTCCCAGGCCATCGAAAACCACACTCACAATCCAAAAAACCAGATAAGTTACCAAGGCTCCTAAACTCGAAAGCTAGGAATTTAAGCCGAAAATAACCACCTGATCTTCGGGGAAACGAGAATGCAGCAAGACTCGATTGAAAGAAAGAAAGAAGGAAAGCTAAGGATAATGGAGAATTGCAGAGAAACAGATAGGGTTAAGAAGAGGATTTGTGATTGAAAATGGGAAAAAAAAACTGTTCTTCAATCCTTCCTGTTGAGAAAAGAAACAAGGGCATTTTGTCGAACAGCTTCTGTGCAGTAACCTTGGTTGAGGTTGCTTTCTCTTTCCAAGAATACGGCAACTATATCTGCGAAAACTCACAAATTATCCATCGAGAATAATAAGAAGCAGAGATTACCGGCTCCGTTGGCGGCTGAGCTTACTGCAGCGGATGGAGGGTCACCGGAGCTTTCTGTTTTTAAGAGTCTTCTTTATGCTGAGACCTAAGTTTGGAATGGAACTAGAAATGAATATTTCAGGCTTCAGCGAGGTATTCGTCAAGGGGATCCGATGTCACTGTATTTGTTTGTTATGTGCATGGAGAAACTGTCTCACTTAATAATGGATGTGGTGCAGGAGAAAAAGTGGAAAGCCATTAAGATGGGGAGGAACGGTCAGTGGATATCGCATTTAACGTTTGTGCATAATTTTTTTATCATGGGAGAAGCCACTGAAATTCAAATGCAATGTGTAGTTGAAGTTTTGCAGAATTTTGGTACCATGTCAGGGAAAGAAGTTAGTGAGGAAAAAACTTGCATTTTGTTCTCCAAAAAGGTTCCTAGAAGAGTCAGAGAAAAGCTATTGCAAATGTTGAAGTTTCGAGAAATGAAAGACATTGGTAAATACTTAGGAGTTCCTCTTAAAGGGGGACCTCTAAAGAAAGATGACTACAGGTACATGTTGATCAAATCGCAGGGAAAAGTGTTATTGAGGCAATTCCCATTTATCCTATGATGACTGATATATTGCCAAAAACATGTATTGAAGATATTCAGAAGATGCAAAGGAATTTTATTTGGGGTGATACAACGGAAAAGCGGAGGTATCATGATATGAATTGGGAAACGATGACAAAAAGCAAGAAAAATGGAGGGATGGGCCTGAGGAATTTGAGAAACATGAATAAAGCATGCTGCATGAAATTAGTAGGAAAACTCATAAGTGAAGGTGATGCGTTTTGGTGTAATGTATTGCGAAGCAAGTATAACGTGAAGAGCATGATAGATTGTAATGCGAAAGCTGCGGATTCGAAATTATGGAAGGATATTTCCAAGTTGAAACCGGAGATCATGAAACACTGGGGTGGAATATAGGCGATGGGGAAAGTATCAAACCTTGGACAGATAAATGGATGGATCATGACAAGAGTATCCAAGAATGGAGAGTCATGATTCCGCCGAATCTCCAGGGTGCTACGCTGCGGGATTTAGTGAGAGAGGATAATGATTGGAGTTGTCAAAAAGTAGTCACATGGTTGCCAGATGATCTAGTGCAGATGATTAAGGTTACGTTGCCGCCTAACAAGGAGCATGAGGAGGATGTGGCGTGTGTTAGAGGCAAAGGTAACAAAGGAATCACAGTGAGCTACCTTTATAGAAGTATGGAAGAGAAGGAAGAGCATGATGAGGATGTCATATGGAAAAGGATTTGGGGGCTGAAAGTGCAGGAAAGAATAAAGGCTTTTGCTTGGTTAATGAGAAATAACAAATTATAACAGATTACTATAAGAGCAAAAAAGGCCTTGGTAGTGCGGAGTGCAATTTGTATGGGCATGTTTGTGAAAATGAGATTCATGTTTTTCGCAACTGTAGCAAGGCGAGGAAGATGTGGCAGGAAATGGTTCCAAATCATATCAAAGATGCCATTTAGAGGATGGACATTAATGATTGGGTTAGTTTGAATTTTTTATTTATTAATAAGAGTTGGAGTAAAATATGGGCAGTTGGTTGTCACAGTTTGTGGTGGCGGAGGAATAGAGAAGTGCATGATAAGGAGTAGCAAAGGGCTTTTTGCATGATTAGTACAGTGTTAGAAAGGGTGAAGGAGTATGACAAGTATCAAGCCAAAGAGGTGACATTATTCCAAAAGGAAAATAGGGGGTGAAATTGAATTCGAATGGTGCAAGGACAGATAAGAGGGGAGCTAGTTGTGGGGCAATTCAAAGAAACAGCAGTGAAGATTATCTTGGAGGTTTTTATAAGAGTGTGCGAAGTTGTAGTATTTTTTGTGTTGAAATCTGGAGTGTTAGAAGGTCTCAAATTAATTAAGAGGTTAGGCCGGAAGAAGGTTGAAATTTGTGTGAACTCTATATCAGTTGTGGAAGCTATGAATAAAAGTTCAAAAGAAGTTGAAGGATTCGCAACTTTGAAGCAAATTACAAAACATATCAAGATGCTAGAGGATATGAAGATTAGTCATATTTTTTGAGAGGCTAACATGTGTGCGGACAAGTTAGCCAAAATGTGTATTGGTTGCTCCACTGTAATGGAGTTTTAGGAAGATTATCCGGTTTGGACTAGAGAGCCCGTTAAGGTTGATAAGGAGGGAATTGGTTTCCATAGAATTGTAAGCTAGTTTTTTACTTCTTTAGGCATAGGCCCTCTCTGTAACAAAAAAAAAGATTAATTTTTAAATTCAGAAATAGGAAACACTTGTGAAGTGTTACATTAGGTTTGAATTCAAAAATAGGTAACACTTCATGAAGTGTTGCAGAATGTGAACCAGTATAACCTTTGAAAATTGTTGGTGTAGGCGAAACAATGCAACACTTGGTAAAAGTGTTGTTGTAGTGTAGCATTTGTCAAAAGTTTTGGTGAAAGTGTTTGTTTCGTCAAGGGTTCCAAACATATGAAGCAACACTAATTTAACCTATAAATTGAGCATTCCATATTCATAAAAAACAGATTAAAAAATTGGGCATCCTCTTCACATGATTCCAGACACTCTTTTCTGCATTCGAATCTTCACCAGTCTTGTGCGAATACGATTAAAAAGCTGAATTATCCTGAGTATTCTTGAGTTCTACCTCTAAGACTATAAGAGAGTGCTTGAAATACTTTAAAGAAAAATGACACCATTCATGATTCTAGCCTCGTTCAAATTAATTTAAATTATTTTTTCTAACAATCTTAAAAGTATTTTAAATAATGGCAATTGTGGCTTCCGCAAATCGTGGTTTTAGAGATGATGCTCTAATCAAGAAATTCAAAAAAATCTTGAGAAAGGAATGAACAAAAGAAATGAGTAAAAATGAAGCACCAAGAAGGAAGGTTACTTGCTTTGAATGCGGAGAAATATGACATGTTAAAAATAAATGTCCTACACTTCAAAATAAAAATAAATTCAAGAGTAAGAATAAAAAAATACATAAAAAGCTTATTTTTATGTCATATTTCTCCACAGATCTGGTTAATTGACTTAGCAAAATCAGTTGCTATTTCAAATTTAAAAAATTTGAAATTCAAAATTCGTCCTGCACTTGTCAAGTCAAGGTTCCCTTTAAACGACTTAACAAGTGTTGAACAAAACTGAAAATTATGTCTTTTCATGAACCATTGTCATTCGAAATTATTGCAAACCTTTATGAAAATGTCTCAAACTTTTGCATCAATTCCTAGAAGTTTCTTAGGATGTATTTAAGGCAAAATACATTAGTTTTCAAATTACCTCTTTCATTATTAACTTTTCATATTAATTCAAATAATTTTCTAAGTGTTCATTCTTTTTTTAAAATATTGAAACTTTGTGTATAACTTTAAAATCACTCATAAAAGTTTTATAATATTTTTTGAGCACTTAAGGTTCATATGTTATTGAATTGTAACTTGAAAGAGAAGATCAATTGTTTATTGAAATTGATTCAAGAACAACTTTATATATTCAAATTTGTTCAAGTATTGTAATTGATTACCAAGTGTGTGGTGACTAAATTTGTAATGAAAATGTGTGCATTTTCTAAAAATATTTGCAAGTAGAAAGTGGTATATTTTCTATTTGTTGCAGAAAGATCCTTTGAATTGGTTTAATTCAAATTTTACTATAGTTCTTGGTGTATTTGTGAAATCAAGGAAGTAGTGGCTTCAAGGGACTCCTCATTTTAAAAGGATGTTATCCAAGACGAAATGAATTCAATAATGTCAAACCACACTTGAGAACTTGTCGATCTAACTAAAAGATCAAGACTCATTGGATACAAGTGGGTGTCTAAAAGGAAGCATCATAATGATGGTATACTAAACATCTACATGTATATATTAGTAACCAAGAGTTTTAGAAAAAAAAGGAAGGTGTTAATTATTTCAACACATATGCACTAGTAGCAAAGACAAACAACTTAGGGAGTGATTTTCAGTCATTGTCAAAATACAAAGTCAAAGAGTTTGTCATCATCAAAAGAGGGAGATTGTGAAGAATACATCTTATATATAGTTCAATTTCGATGAATACAAAGACTATAAAAGAGGAAAAGGTTCGAAAGTGTCATGCACATCAATGATGAAGTTAATCAAGAAGGTTTACCATATAAATTCAAGTGAAGATTTGAGACAAGTGAACATCAATAAGGCGATCATTTCAAATTATTATACTACTTTAAATTGGTCATAATTGTATCTCTCACCTCATCTAAAACCTTTTTGCATTATCATGCATGATTATCTAAAAATCTTTTTCATCTGAATCTTGTTACAAGTGTTTGTACACAAAGTTGTGTGAGAATATTGTGATATTCCTTTATTTCTATGTTGATTATATGATTGATCATTAGCAACGAGATGAATGAAATTTTAGAAATAAAGAGGTTTCTAACTTCCACATTCAAGATGAATGATCTTAAACTAGTTGACACATTTTTTGGGATTAAAGTAGAGCTAAATAGTGGGGGTTATGAACTTACTCAAACACAATATGTTGAGAAAGTGCTTGATAAGCTCAAACACTTACGCTTTAAGCAAGTGACTATTCCATTTGGTCATAGTATCAAACTTTAAGAGAATGGCAGAAGAGTTGTGGCTCAATTGGAATATGCAAGTGTATACAATGTACTATACCCGACATAGCATTTGCAATTAGTAAAATGAGTAGATTTTACTAATAATCTAAATGTTGATCATTGAAAGGTCATCATTAGGATTTTCGACAATCTTATGAAAACCAAAAATATTGATCTCCATAATGGTAGATTTCTTTCCTGCCATATTAGAAGGATATACCAATGCGAGTTGGATATTATGTGTTGAATATCATAAATATGCATTTGGGTGGATATTTACACTAGCCGGTGGTGTAATTTCTTCGAAAAGAAAGAAAAAAATGTGGATCACTCTCTCAACCATAGAATCGGAGTCCGAGGCTCTTGCTTGCGCTGGTGAAGAAGCTCAATGGTTGAGGGACCTTCTGTAGAAAGTTTCATTTTCTAAGGATAATGTTTCAAAGATGTTGATACATTGCGGTCGTCAAGTCACTTTGCCTAGAGTATACAAAAAGTGTATAACAGAAAGTCCAGTCAAGTAGGACTTAGACATTCTTTCATGAGAAAATTGATTAAGGATATAATCATTTCAATCACATATATATGATCGAGCTATAATTTGGTTGATCCATTTAGTAATCAATTGGCCAAAAACTTAGTAAAAACAACCTTGAGAGGCATGGGGTTGAAACTCCTTGAGTAAGAGTTTTGACAGCGGCGGAAACCCAATCTTACGTTAACATAACATTAACCTCAAGACTTAATGGGTAAAAACAAGTCGTTGATTTGGATGTTTGTCGAACATTTCATGATAATATTGACATTTAAAATTAGGGTTGAGTTTTTATTTAAACTCTTAATGAAGTTTAATACTAAGTGTACGTGTCTCACAGAAAAGGATACAATATGAACTTCACCTATGTGAATTTCAAGACGGTGTCGTCTCAAAGTGAGAGTTGGAGTTTCTCTCACAAAAAATTCATGA